ATCCGCTAGTGAATCGGAGACCAAATAATTAGTATCTTGCCTTATGAAAACGTTCCCAATAGTAGCTATATTAAGAAATGAATAACACTTTCTAATGAGAAATGTACAAATTATTATAGTGACCAGTATTATGAATCGCATGGAGTCTTCAAGGAGATTATAGTTGCTATTCATCCAGATCTATTGGAACTGAATAAAAACTGGGTCCGGGATAAAAACCATATTTTCTTGTACTCGAATAAAAGATTGTTCGAAAGAATAAATGAAGTGCATATTTTTTAAAATAAATTTTCCTCCATCATGTATTTCATCTGCGAGATATATTTCAGTTCGGAGTCAATAAGAACAAACTGGGACAGGAGCACAAACCTTCGCATCTCATGGCGGCCCAAAAACTGCATCACTCTTTTCTTTGAAGAGCTGGTTTTTAGAACTTTTTCGGAATTTTTTGTCTATCATCCAGGGGGAGGGTCGCCCCCTTGCAGAATTCGCTGGTGCTCGTCACGATAATATTTTTTTTTTATATATTACATTAGAAAATTCGTCTATGAGGATGAATTTTTCCTATATTTCTTTTTTCATTAAAGAAAATGCTTAAAATATTAGTTTTTGAAAGGGAAGGTCCTTCGGAGGATATTTGGCCCAGTTAAGGAGAATGGTGAATGGAGAATTAGACGTAACCATGAACTAGCTAATTTATACAAGGAGCCGAATGGGGTGAAATATATCCGGATAGCAAGGCTGAGATCGAAGGATCAAGTTGTTCCTCTTCGGATGGACGAGACTTTAAACCCAAAGAAGCTGTTGTGCATGGAGCTGGTTGGAAAAAGAAAAGTGGACAGACTGATACTGAGATGGAAAATGGATTAAGTAATCATGCCAGAATCCATCGAATCGGGAACTGGTGGAGGCTGCTCAGGACATCGAAACATGGAGGAAAACTCCTGAGGCAGCCAAGATCCAGTAATGGATTTTCGAGCTCAGGATGATGATGATCACATTAGAAAATTCATCATAGAGGATGATTTTCCCCTATATTTCTATTTTCTTTAAATAGCTGTTTTTTGGATTCTTTTTTTCGAAATTATGTTTGTGCCATCCAGAGGGGAGCAGGTCCCTGTTAGAAATTACTAGTGCTGGTCACGATAATAACTTTTTTTTATATTATATTAGAAATTCCACTATGAGGATGAATTTCTCCTATATTTTTCTTTTCTTTAAATAGCTGCTTTTTGGAACTTTTCCCCAACCATCCAGTGGAGAAAGGAACGCGCCCTGGCTGGATCCGCTAGTACTGGTTACGATAATAATTTTTTGTATCACAGAAAATTCGTCTTAGAGGATGAATTTTTCCTATATTTCCCTTTTCATTAAATAGGGGTTTTCCCCAACATCCTAGGGAGGGCAAGCCTTCGCATCTCACCAAAAACTGCATCACTCTTTTCTTTGAATAGCTGGTTTTTGGAACTTTTTCGGAATTGCCCCTTGGCAGAATTCGCTAGTGCTGGTTCCGATTATAATTTTTGTTTTTTATTACATTATTCGTGAATGAGAATGAATTTTACCAACATTTCTCTGTTCTTTAAATAGATATTTTTGTCACTTTTTCGGAATCCACCCCTCCCATCCAAAAGAGGGCGCGCCCCCTGGCAGAATTCGCTAGTTCTCGTCACGATAATAATTGTATTTTTGTATTAAATTAGGATATTCATCGTATATGAGGATAAATTTTCCCTATATTTCCCTTTTCTTTAAATAGCTGCTTTTTGGAATTTTTTTCCAGCTCCCGGGGGGGGGGGAGGGGGCCCCACTCCCCCTGCTGCATCCACTAGTGGTTGGGACATGGGTTCCGGAGTGCCCGATTCTGAATGTGTGGGTTCGAATCCTACCTGGGTCAGTTAATTTTCCCGGGGCCGCCGAGAAATGAATCTTGACACTCCCATTCTGGTAACTTCGCGGTGAGAACCTTAAGGTAGTACGATAGTTCCACTTGCCGGATTAGTTCTCCCCATCATTACCAGTAAGTCTGTTGTTCACCACTATCAATCTATCACACAGGTGGCCTGACCTGTGAAGTTACGAAGTCGAGGAGTGATGGAGATACAATACAGTATATGCACAAGTATCGAGCAGAACCTGTTGATTCGTTCTCTTGTAAGATATGAATAGGCCCTACTTGTTTAAAGGCAGGAGCAAGGTTGTGTATATTTCCTAACTTCCTCCTGAAGTCGTCTATGGTAGTAGCATAGTCAGGTGGCTGACTTCGACCTGCTTCTGTAACGTTGACACCAATTAGTGTAAGTGCCTCTAGGTTTGCAGCTGCCATAGTTCTACGACCTCATTACGAAGACTCCTGTAACAGACTTATGTACAAGAGGTCAGTTGAAAGAGTTGAATGAAGCGGTGGTAAAGGTGGAGATGGCATGGGTCCCGATTGTGTGGTTTGCGGGGCGACTGTGGACACGTTTTGTGGTTTGCCTAAGTTCCGTATCCACAAATTCCTCCCGATATTCCTACAAATGATAGAGCCTGCTAATAGCATCTTCTGGCGGTATAATTGCGAAGGTTTTTAACTACCCAGCTGATTGTCCTTTACCATCTTTTGGATTCGCCGGTTCGGTCTTTCATTATACCGTACTAGTCCTGAGTTTGCCAACTAAAGAGATCTGGTATCTGTGTTAGAATATCTATTAAGTCCTACTATTGCCAAGTGAAATTTCTTTTGTGATGAGGTGGATTTCGATGTAGAGAAAATACCATCAACTTGAAGAAACCATATAGCATTTGGCTTAATTTCATCATAGGTGGTCTTTTATTAAAGCTAGATAGTCAGAGAATAATAAAACATGAAAAAATATTAAAAACTAATTGGCTTAGGCATTAAAAAAAATCGTCAATTTTTTTTATAAAAAAATTTTCAAGTTGAAAATCAGGCGCCGTTTGTAATTAAACGGTCAACAATAATGCAAAACGTGCTGAAATAAAACATCTGGAGAATACATTTGTCTTTCTAAAACACTGATTACTTTTCAAAATATTTGAAGTAGTTCCGTAGAAAATGTACTTAAGCGGCAGGAAAGCGCTACTGGCGTAGGTGCCTTGAGGCCTCTACAACACCACTCAGTACTCATAAATGGCTTAGTTATAGTGCTATAATAACGTTTTTGTTATATTATATTGATTGTATTAACGAATAAATATTAATACAATAATTTAATTGTCAAAAAAAAATTTAATTTATTATTATTATTTTTTATTTATTATCATTTATTTTTTTAAATTTAACTTCCTTTATTCTATACGGAGGTCGCTTAAGAAGGCCTCTATTATAAAAATTATATAATTATAATAATAAAACTTAATTCAAAAATACTTTGCAGAATATCTTGAATTTTTTATTTAATATTTGCAATTTAACATTTTGTTTTACATATTTACTAATTCTTAGAGGTAATTTAAATTGTATATACTTCCCCCGAAACGAGTCATATTAATATCTGTTTTATAAACTAAACAATATATACCTAATCTGAACTACTTTTAATGAATAGGTGATGGATTGTTTAGTAAAATTCATATATCGCTATTAAAAAAATCATTTTTATTTCCTTAATTTTATTCGGAAGTTGGACCATATCATAAAAAATATGAACTTTTAATATTAAATGCATTATTCCCTCTGCACAAAATAAGGATGGAAAGGGCGAAGCTATAAGTTCTTCTAGGTAACTGGAACTGATTGTTAGTATTTGGTCTCAAAATGAGGGAAAACGCGAAATTGAACCCAAACATTGGAAAAATACATTAAGCGAACGACAAAGGAAGTGCCGAAATTTCGGAAAAGAAAACAAGGATCCGTATCCGTTATATGGCTAAACGAATATATAGTGATTGAAGTTGCACATTGGGACAATCTTCACTTTGAAGCAGGTTATAGAGAGGTCTACCGATAAAGGAAAATAGCTCTCCTCCTGTTTAGTGCAATTGCAAAAGATTTTTGAAGGAATCTGAAAGGAAAACGAGCTTTTGTGAAAGACTAGTAGATATTACATCAATCCAAAGTGTGAGGCACTAAGCAGATAGAGAACCACTTTTCTTTGTTTGTGGACTTCAATACAATACAATCAATATAATATAACAAAAACGTTATTATAGCACTATAACTAAGCCATTTATGAGTACTGAGTGGTGTGGTAGAGGCCTCAAGGCACCTACGCCAGTAGCGCTTTCCTGCCGCTTAAGTACATTTTCTACGGAACTACTTCAAATATTTTGAAAAGTAATCAGTGTTTTAGAAAGACAAATGTATTCTCCAGATGTTTTATTTCAGCAAGTTTTGCATTATTGTTGACCGTTTAATTACAAACGGCGCCTGATTTTCAACTTGAAAATTTTTTTATAAAAAAAATTGACGATTTTTTTTAATGCCTAAGCCAATTAGTTTTTAATATTTTTTCATGTTTTATTATTCTCTGACTATCTAGCTTTAATAAAAGACCACCTATGATGAAATTAAGCCAAATGCTGATTCTCAGTAACAAAAAAACTAACTAAAGTCAAAGTCGTCAATCCGCCATGTTTGGACGCCATTTTGGGGCAGTTCGTTCACTTTTTTTTTGTGGGAACATTGGCTTTTTTTTTTAATAAATTGTCACAAGGAACACAACGATATGCAATTTATAGGGATGTGGGGGAGAGGGTGCACGGTAAGGGGGTCTGACCCACCGTGTAGAATACCTTCCTTTTATAAAACCAATCCTGCTATATGGTTTCTTCAAGTTGATGGTATTTTCTCTACATCGAAATCCACCTCATCACAAAAGAAATTTCACTTGGCAATAGTAGGACTTAATAGATATTCTAACACAGATACCAGATCTCTTTAGTTGGCAAACTCAGGACTAGTACGGTATAATGAAAGACCGAACCGGCGAATCCAAAAGATGGTAAAGGACAATCAGCTGGGTAGTTAAAAACCTTCGCAATTATACCGCCAGAAGATGCTATTAGCAGGCTCTATCATTTGTAGGAATATCGGGAGGAATTTGTGGATACGGAACTTAGGCAAACCACAAAACGTGTCCACAGTCGCCCCGCAAACCACACAATCGGGACCCATGCCATCTCCACCTTTACCACCGCTTCATTCAACTCTTTCAACTGACCTCTTGTACATAAGTCTGGTTACAGGAGTCTTCGTAATGAGGTCGTAGAACTATGGCAGCTGCAAACCTAGAGGCACTTACACTAATTGGTGTCAACGTTACAGAAGCAGGTCGAAGTCAGCCACCTGACTATGCTACTACCATAGACGACTTCAGGAGGAAGTTAGGAAATATACACAACCTTGCTCCTGCCTTTAAACAAGTAGGGCCTATTCATATCTTACAAGAGAACGAATCAACAGGTTCTGCTCGATACTTGTGCATATACTGTATTGTATCTCCATCACTCCTCGACTTCGTAACTTCACAGGTCAGGCCACCTGTGTGATAGATTGATAGTGGTGAACAACAGACTTACTGGTAATGATGGGGAGAACTAATCCGGCAAGTGGAACTATCGTACTACCTTAAGGTTCTCACCGCGAAGTTACCAGAATGGGAGTGTCAAGATTCATTTCTCGGCGGCCCCGGGAAAATTAACTGACCCAGGTAGGATTCGAACCCACACATTCAGAATCGGGCACTCCGGAACCCATGTCCCAACCACTAGTGGATGCAGCAGGGGGAGTGGGGCCCCCCCCCCCCCCCCCCCGGGAGCTGGAAAAAAATTCCAAAAAGCAGCTATTTAAAGAAAAGGGAAATATAGGGAAAATTTATCCTCATATACGATGAATATCCTAATTTAATACAAAAATACAATTATTATCGTGACGAGCACTAGCGAATTCTGCCAGGGGGCGCGCCCTCTTTTGGATGGGAGGGGTGGATTCCGAAAAAGTGACAAAAATATCTATTTAAAGAACAGAGAAATGTTGGTAAAATTCATTCTCATTCACGAATAATGTAATAAAAAACAAAAATTATAATCGGAACCAGCACTAGCGAATTCTGCCAAGGGGCAATTCCGAAAAAGTTCCAAAAACCAGCTATTCAAAGAAAAGAGTGATGCAGTTTTTGGTGAGATGCGAAGGCTTGCCCTCCCTAGGATGTTGGGGAAAACCCCTATTTAATGAAAAGGGAAATATAGGAAAAATTCATCCTCTAAGACGAATTTTCTGTGATACAAAAAATTATTATCGTAACCAGTACTAGCGGATCCAGCCAGGGCGCGTTCCTTTCTCCACTGGATGGTTGGGGAAAAGTTCCAAAAAGCAGCTATTTAAAGAAAAGAAAAATATAGGAGAAATTCATCCTCATAGTCGAATTTCTAATATAATATAAAAAAAAGTTATTATCGTGACCAGCACTAGTAATTTCTAACAGGGACCTGCTCCCCTCTGGATGGCACAAACATAATTTCGAAAAAAAGAATCCAAAAAACAGCTATTTAAAGAAAATAGAAATATAGGGAAAATCATCCTCTATGATGAATTTTCTAATATCAAACTGGAAGATAAGGTCAGAAAGACCGGGAGAGAAAAAATCCAACGGTAAGAAGAAGTAAATGCCCTTGGTTTGTTTGCAGAAAATTTTTATCTTGTTTCGTTTATAAATACTTTTTACTGTTTTTCATTGTATAAAAAATAATCTTTTAAATTTATATTGATTGTTGATCCCACTTACATAACTGTCAACAAAATTGTGACCTGGAAATGAATCAAAATCACAACCAATAAAAGTAAGGACACAAACATAAACCCGAGGTAATAACTCCACTATCCCAACCTCAACAGCAACTTCTGCACATCGTATTTATTGTATTGTAAGGAGGTATAGAAAGTCCTGCAAATAGAATAGTCTGTGGGCCAGACCCCCTTACCGTGCACCCCCTCCTCCACATCCCTATAAATTGCATATCGTTGTGTTCCTTGTGACAATTTATTAAAAAAAAGCCAATGTTCCCACAAAAAAAAGTGAACGAACTGCCCCAAAATGGCGTCCAAACATGGCGGATTGACGACTTTGACTTTAGTTAGTTTTTTTGTTACTGAGAATCAGCATTTGGCTTAATTTCATCATAGGTGGTCTTTTATTAAAGCTAGATAGTCAGAGAATAATAAAACATGAAAAAATATTAAAAACTAATTGGCTTAGGCATTAAAAAAAATCGGTAAAGTCAATTTTTTTTACAAAAAATTTTCAAGTTGAAAATCAGGCGCCGTTTGTAATTAAACGGTCAACAATAATGCAAAACGTCTGAAATAAAACATCTGGAGAATACATTTCTCTTTCTAAAACACTGATTACTTTTTCAAAATATTTGAAGTAGTTCCGTAGAAAATGTACTTAAGCGGCAGGAAAGCGCTACTGGCGTAGGTGCCTTGAGGCCTCTACCACACCACTCAGTACTCATAAATGGCTTAGTTATAGTGCTATAATAACGTTTTTGTTATATTATATTGATTGTATTAACGAATAAATATTAATACAATAATTTAATTGTCAAAAAAATTTTTTTTTTAATTTATTATATTTTTTTTATTATATATTTATTTTTTTAAATTTAATCTTCCTTTATTCTATACGGAGGTCGCTTAAGAAGGCCTCTATTATAAAAATTATATAATTATAATAATAAAACTTAATTCAAAAATACTTTGCAGAATATCTTGAATTTTTTATTTAATGTTTGCAATTTAACATTTTGTTTTATATATTTACTAATTCTTAGAGGTAATTTAAATTGTATATACTTCTCCGGAAATGAGTCATATTAATATCTGTTTTATGAACTAAAATAATATATACCTAATCTGAACTACATTTAATGAATAGGTGATGGATTGTTTAGTAAAATTCATATATCGCTATTAAAAAAGTCATTTTTATTTCCTTTATTTTTTTCGGAAGTTGGGCCATATCATAAAAAATAAGAACATTTAATATTAAATGCATTATTCCCTCTGCACAAAATAAGGATGGAAAGGGCGAAGCTATAAGTTCTTCTAGGTAACTGGAACTGATTGTTAGTATTTGGTCTCAAAATGAGGGAAAACGCGAAATTGAACCCAAACATTGGAAAAATACATTAAGCGAACGACAAAGGAAGTGCCGAAATTTCGGAAAAGAAACCAAGGATCCGTATCCGTTATATGGCTAAACGAATATATAGTGATTGAAGTTGCACATTGGGACAATCTTCACTTTGAAGCAGGTTATAGAGAGGTCTACCGATAAAGGAAAATAGCTCTCCTCCTGTTTAATGCAATTGCAAAAGATTTTTGAAGGAATCTGAAAGGAAAACGAGCTTTTGTGAAAGACTAGTAGATATTACATCAATCCAAAGTGTGAGGCACTAAGCAGATAGAGAACCACTTTTCTTTGTTTGTGGACTTCAATACAATACAATAACGTTAATTCAATTTAACTAAATTCAATATAACAAAAACGTTATTATAGCACTATAACTAAACCATTTATGAGTACTGAGTGGTGTGGTAGAGGCCTCAAGGCACCTACGCCAGTAGCGCTTTCCTGCCGCTTAAGTACATTTTCTACGGAACTACTTCAAATATTTTGAAAAGTAATCAGTGTTTTAGAAAGACAAATGTATTCTCCAGATGTTTTATTTCAGCACGTTTTGCATTATTGTTTACCGTTTAATTACAAACGGCGCCTGATTTTCAACTTGAAAATTTTTTTATAAAAAAAATTGACGATTTTTTTTAATGCCTAAGCCAATTAGTTTTTAATATTTTTTCATGTTTTATTATTCTCTGACTATCTAGCTTTAATAACAGACCACCTATGATGAAATTAAGCCAAATGCTGATTCTCAGTAACAAAAAAACTAACTAAAGTCAAAGTCGTCAATCCGCCATGTTTGGACGCCATTTTGGGGCATTTCGTTCACTTTTTTTTTGTGGGAACATTGGCTTTTTTTTTTAATAAATTGTCACAAGGAACACAACGATATGCAATTTATAGGGATGTGGGGGGGGGGTACACGGTAAGGGGGTCTGGCCCACAGACTATTCTATTTGCAGGACTTTCTATACCTCCTTACAATACAATAAATACGATGTGCAGAAGTTGCTGTTGAGGTTGGGATAGTGGAGTTATTAAGTCAGCTGGAAGGACTGTAGTTTTGTCCCTTTACAGGAAATGAGATACTAGGAAATGTTATTCGAGATTACTTACTGTTTATAGTACCAAAGAAAGTCTACTCAAGAATCGTAGAAGCTAAAATAAGAAATATTGTCGATTGTCTGAGCGATAAAATTGGAACATAAGTTGCAAATTGGGACTGTCTTCACTTTAAGGTAGGTTATAGAGAAGTCCACAAACAAAGAAAAATGGTTCTCTATCTGCTTAGTGCCTCACACTTTGGATTGATGTAATATCTACTAGTCTTTCACAAAAGCTCGTTTTCCTTTCAGATTCCTTCAAAAATCTTTTGCAATTGCACTAAACAGGAGGAGAGCTATTTTCCTTTATCGATAGACCTCTCTATAACCTGCTTCAAAGTGAAGATTGTCCCAATGTGCAACTTCAATCACTATATATTCGTTTAGCCATATAACGGATACGGATCCTTGTTTTCTTTTCCGAAATTTCGGCACTTCCTTTGTCGTTCGCTTAATGTATTTTTCCAATGTTTGGGTTCAATTTCGCGTTTTCCCTCATTTTGAGACCAAATACTAACAATCAGTTCCAGTTACCTAGAAGAACTTATAGCTTCGCCCTTTCCATCCTTATTTTGTGCAGAGGGAATAATGCATTTAATATTAAAAGTTCTATATTTTTTATGATATGGTCCAACTTCCGAATAAAATTAAGGAAATAAAAATGATTTTTTTAATAGCGATATATGAATTTTACTAAACAATCCATCACCTATTCATTAAAAGTAGTTCAGATTAGGTATATATTATTTTAGTTTATAAAACAGATATTAATATGACTCATTTCCGGGGAAGTATATACAATTTAAATTACCTCTAAGAATTAGTAAATATATAAAACAAAATGTTAAATTGCAAATATTAAATAAAAAATTCAAGATATTCTGCAAAGTATTTTTGAATTAAGTTTTATTATTATAATTATATAATTTTTATAATAGAGGCCTTCTTAAGCGACCTCCGTATAGAATAAAGGAAGATTAAATTTAAAAAAATAAATATAATAAATAAAAAAAATAATAATAAATTAAAAAAAAAATTTTGACAATTAAATTATTGTATTAATATTTATTCGTTAATACAATCAATATAATATAACAAAAACGTTATTATAGCACTATAACTAAGCCATTTATGAGAACTGAGTGGTGTAGAGGCCTGAAGGAACCTACGCCAGTAGCGCTTTTCTGCCGCTTAAGTACATTTTCTACGGAACTACTTCAAATATTTTAAAAAGTAATCAGTGTTTTAGAAAGAGAAATGTATTCTCCAGATGTTTTATTTCAGACGTTTGCATTATTGTTGACCGTTTAATTACAAACGGCGCCTGATTTTCAACTTGAAAATTTTTTGTAAAAAAAATTGACTTTACCGATTTTTTTTAATGCCTAAGCCAATTAGTTTTTAATATTTTTTCATGTTTTATTATTCTCTGACTATCTAGCTTTAATAAAAGACCAACTATGATGAAATTAAGCCAAATGCTGATTCTAAGTAACAAAAAAACTAACTAAAGTCAAAGTCGTCAATCCACCATCTTTGGACGCCATTTTGGGGCAGTTCGTTCACTTTTTTTGTGGGAACATTGGCTTTTTTTTAATAAATTGTCACAAGGAACACAACGATATGCAATTTATAGGGATGTGGGGGGAGGGGGGTGCACGGTAAGGGGGTCTGGCCCACAGACTATTCTATTTGCAGGACTTTCTATACCTCCTTACAATACAATAAATACGATGTGCAGAAGTTGCTGTTGAGGTTGGGATAGTGGAGTTATTACCTCGGGTTTATGTTTGTGTCCTTACTTTTATTGGTTGTGATTTTGATTCATTTCCAGGTCACAATTTTGTTGACAGTTATGTAAGTGGGATCAACAATCAATATAAATTTAAAAGATTATTTTTTATACAATGAAAAACAGTAAAAAGTATTTATAAACGAAACAAGATAAAAATTTTCTGCAAACAAACCAAGGGCATTTACTTCTTCTTACCGTTAGATTTTTTCTCTCCCGGTCTTTCTGACCTTATCTTCCAGTTTGATATTTTGCAAAAAATATGATTTCAGTGTCACACCACATTTATTTTTTTAAAAAAGTGTTGTTTAGATTGTATTTTATTTTAACAAATCGATATTAAATATCGAGTGTAGTGTTGCAATAAGCTTAAATAAAAATTAGAAGTATTTTGGATTGAGTTTAGACGATTATACCTCTAAGGCCTGTATTTCGCGGATTCAAATTTTTATCGATATTTTAACTTTTACAGGTTTATGAGTTAATGTACTGTAGTTAGTGAAGTAAACATAGTAACAATCTATTTAATCCTTGTCGTGTCAAAATTATACTGCCACAGTTTGTCTAAAGTAGTTACATTATATACGTATCATCTTTGTCTTGATAAGACCGGTGATTTTGACTCAAGTCGCTTTTCTTAATTAGTTTTGATGGACCCAAAAATCGGTTGGTTCCAAACAGAGCAAGAAGGACCCAGCAAGGAGTATTGGATGAAGGTTTGGGATAACTTTCAAAGGACCGTAGGCCATGTTGGTAGTAAAACTGTAGCAGAGAGAAAGTCACAGGAACTTGGCACTTCTCAACACCTGCCACTACAGCAACAGCAAAAGGAAAATCTTGAAGGAGCAGACCCAGCCAATGTTTGGAACAATAACTGGGCCTCAACATATTTTATGAATAGGCATCGTGACAATCTTATAGGCAATTATGGAGGATGTCCATGGAGACCTCCGAACAAATTGTATGATTCAAGGCCTATTGTTGCGTAAGTTATTATCTGTTAAATAATTCTGTTATTAATTCACTAATGTCACTACCAAGATCGTACTAATCACTCTGTTTTTGCAATTTTAAAAATGACTGTCGGAAAGTAGACAGAGATGGTGGACGCCAATGATAATAAAGCCCTGATCTTACTTCATCTTAAATCCTCTTGGTTATTTCTGTTGAATAAGCAAAAGTCAATATGATTAAATCAAGTTTAAATCCATGAATATATTGTCAATACTTAGCTTCACCACCATGTTGGAGTGACATCTACAGTTTTTAGTATTTTTCTCATTCTTTTATATTTAGTTTAGTCATTTGTTAGTGTTCCATACAGCTGAGGTCTTGGCCCCTCAACCAGTTGTAATGAAGTTTTAGACGTATAAGATAAAATGATTTTCTTTGATTATTTTCTGTAGAGTAATTAATTTGATACTAGTTTCAAATCTCTACTCCATGATGGCAGCCAGTCTCAAGACCACTTCAAGCACATTTCAGGTGATATCCTACCAGGGTTTACTTTAGTGAAAAATTTCTCTTAGGGAAATTTCAGGGTTTGGTAGGAAAAAAAGGGAAAATTTTTCCATGTTATCAAATTGAAGCAACATCTCAGTATGGAATCTGTTTAAATTTATTCATTTAATTATAAGCAAAACAAAACAAAATGAGAATTTGATCTATATGCTTGAAATCTAATCGGTTCACACTAAAATGGAATCACCTTTATATAAGCAGTATATTATTTTTTTCAAGTATAAAGATGACAAATAGTAGTTTTTTCGACAGGTACAATATTGGTAAGGAAGAGATTGGTTGACGTTGTCTAGTAACGTTTACATTGAAATGCCTTACATGGCAACAGAGTAACATTGTATAACTGTGTCTAATTAACAAAACTTTGTAGTTTGTTACGGTGGCAAACTTAACGATTTCATGGTCCAACCATCTGATTTGGTTACTTCTTACAAATGAGTTCTTGGTGTGAATTCTCTACTGCTGGTGTGAATGTTCACTCACCGGACCATAGGTCGTGCGGAGAACTCTTCTCTGCCATCCAAGTTACTTCTTTTCTGAGGCCTTAGAGATTACCCAAGTCTCAGAATCATTGGTGAAAACGGGTTTTATGACTTTTTCGTACACTGTAATTTTTGTCCTAGGAGTGAGGGAGCTATAATTTAGCTCCTTATTACTTATTGATAATTAGAGGTAATAATATATAAAATAATAAAAAAAAATATAATATATGAATGGTAGTGTATGAACAACAATAAGAATAAACGTGTAACTAGATGGATAGAAGTAGATGACAAACACAAGCTCAGGATTATGTCATACATCAATAATTGGAGGGACTAGTAAAATAGTTTATGATAGACACAAAATCTAATTATGAAATGTAATAATAATTAAATAATACAGCTATTTAGGTACCAGTAGTATTGGAAACAAACATTCTAATTATTTCATGTTTAATTTGCTGCAGTATCATTGTTTTTTTATATTAGATTTTGTTTACGGCATCAGTCATTTTCATTACTTCCCCTGATATAATTTTATTATAGCTAAACTGTTGTTGGTGACCTGCTGGCTCTCTGATTCCATAATGCGATTTGGAATATTTATGAATTTTACATAATTTTTCGAGCGCTTTACATGAATACAGGGTGTCATATAATTATAGGAAAATATTAAAAAAGGTGGTAGCAGAGCTTAAGAATTTTAAAAAAGTTTGTACAAACAATCATAGGTGCAGACTACAGGGAAGACGATCACCCCCCCTCCTCCCCCCATATTATTGAAATGATATTCTCGCTCCCTCCAATAATTTGAAGTAAAAAAATTAAAATTGATAAAAAATAATCTACATAAATGAGTAAAATATGTAAAATAAAATCGATTAAGAAAAGTCGACTATCTGGTCAAGCTGAGGCCTATAAGTATTTGAAAAAATCCTATTATGTTTTTTTCCAACGTGAGAATGCACTGCGGCCTCATGAAGGCCTATTGTGTGTCGTCCTAAACTCTATTAAAACAGGCCAGATGCCCAGATGCCTTTGTGAACTTGTTAATACTAATAGTTAGCAGCACTTAGGGTCAGTTATAGGATCACATCCAAAATGAAAGTATCGTAGTCTAGCCAAATTATCACATTTACAAATAATGTAATATGCTGTTTCATCCTGCAGGCCACACAGCATGCAGGTCGAAATCGCATGCCCAAATTAAAGAGGTGAATCCTATTAATTAATTTTCAATTATATTCAGGGATAATAACATATAAATATATTTTAGCATTTTATGATTCATTCACTTCTCATGTTGACACCTCCAAATTCATGTAATTTTCTTATAAATCTTCTGCGATAAATTTGGAAAAAATATATTTATCTAGTACAAGTACAAATATATTTTATAGAGAATGCTTTTCTAAAAATATCTACATAATTAGTTAGATTGTAAACACTAAGAAGAACAAAGTTAAAATAAATAAATTATATTTATTTTTATTTATTTCGTGCCAACGTTTCAGCCTAAGATTCAGGCCTTCATATTCTACTTAATACCCCCCCAGGCACCGATCTTACGGCTCCCTTCGTGAGACAGTCCTAATGAAGACCGAAATGTCGGCACAATTAAAATAAATATAATTTATTTATTTTTACTTGGTTCTTTGTTTGACTGAACACCCCAACTAACTTCGCTTTAATATATCTACTACAGTCAACTATCAATCCACTATAAGAGAATAAAAATATTTTTCAGTTTTTAACATTATTCATTTTTACCCAGAAAATGTTAAAGAAATGCACTTATGTTATGGAGGTGGTCCTCCTTCCCCTCATGTTTAATATATACAAATTGTAATATATCCAATTGTTTTGTTAAGGTATTTTCAAGTATATCCTTATACTTTGTAAAAAAGATAATAATAAAAGAATCCTGCAACTGTCCAAACATTATATATATATATATATATATATATATATATATAAAGAGAAATAGAAATAGAAAAATCAAAAATCATCTTTATTCTGTGGCTAGGTCCCTTTAGAATAACAGTATTGTTCATATAAATTAACCATAAATCTGGCTAAAATACTTTATATATATATATATATATATATATATATATATATATAAATTTATTTCAAAATATACAGCATTATATTTGTTCATTTCTCAATAATTATTAAGAATTTTTACACATAATATGAACTACCACAAATATTTTTTTGTGGTCCATCCCCCCTCCCTCCCGATTCAAAATGGAAAGTCTGCGCCTATGTAAACAATGTCTTATTTCACACAGCGTAGTAGGATATTTAAAGCAGGAATCACCACACATTTTGTCCCATAAGCCACGTTGAGAACTCCACTGACTACCATGTGAGCTTGTGATGAAAAAAATACTTGTTCTGTAAATGACACTTCACTTATGAAATCAGATCAATCTGAAGGTTGTATTGTCTTCCACCGAACTTTACTATAATGTCTTTGAGAGTTGTATTAACCAGGACTTAAAACGGAATAAAATACTTTTGTATCATTGGAATTTTTATAGTCTATAGTTTTTCAGTTATTTTGGAACTAGAAATTTTTCCCTAACAGATTTTCAAGTAAAGGTTTTACAGAACTTTTGTTTGTAAAAAAAAATTATTTAAAAGTTCTGCCGATTTTGCTAAAAAGTCGATCTAATAAATTACTTTTATTCATAGCTACTCAAACAAATAACACATTAGAATCATGTGTAATTTATTTAAAACAACTTATAACCCTTATCTAAGCCCAATTACTGCCTATTTTTCATTTCAATGGAACTTTATTTAAGAACTTGAATAAATAAAAGTTAAACTTTTACCATAAATCTGGAACTTTAAAAAAAAGTTCCTCAAAACTTTTATTGAAGAACTTTGTATCTGAAAAGGTTTCACAGAAACTGTTAAAATGGAACCTTTTTCCCAAAAAGTTTCACAGAAACTGTTAAAATGGATTTTTTTCCTAAAAATTTTCACAGAAACTGTTAAAATCGAATTTTGTAAAAGTTTCAATCCTTGGTATTAATTCTTGCAGTCGCTAGAGCTTAGAGCTTCCTTTCTTGTGTACGGGAATGAGGATGTTATACTCCCACTCCTTCGGCACAGTTTTTTGAGAAAAAGCTGTTTGAAAGAGGTCCTGCAGGTTTTTCTGCAGTTCTGGTCCTCCAATCTTAATTAGCTCTGAGACATTGCAATGAATAAAACCAACAACAGTTAATTTGTGTATATAAAAGTAAAAATAATTAATTAAATAATACAGAGGTGCTTACCAGATCTGGCCCAATAACTCCGGTTCTTGATACCACATATCAGATACAGCCTGTGGGTCGTAGTTTGTAGACTCATGGTATAGACAGTACCATCACATTGTCTTTAAACAAAGATCTGAAGTGAACGTAGACAATAATTTTATAGAGAATGTTTTTATAGACATTTTTACATAACTGGTCAGACTGTGAAAACGTTTTATTTTTATTTGGAGATTGTACAATCTAATAAATCAAAAATATTTTTCAGTTTTTAACATTATTCATTTTTAGCTTAAAAAGTTTTAGAAATGTACCGATGTTATGGAGGCTTTCCCCCTTCCTCCCATGTTTAACGTATACAAATTGAATATATTGTATATCCAATTGTTTTTTTTCAGATATTTTCAATTTTATTTATTAACGAAATGCACATAAAAAATATATATATATATCCTACAACTGTCCAAATATTTATATAAATTTAGTTTTAAATATTTGATATTACATTTGTTCATTTCGCAATAATTATGTTGAAGGATTTTACACATAGTATCACCTACCGCCATTTTCTTTTCTTTTTTTTTTCTTTACCAACCTATCAAAATTTAAAGTCTATATGTGGTGTACTGGGACTGCTTTAGGGGATTCATGGCGCAAGTTGAAATATAGGGATTTAAATATTGGTACGTGGAACGTTAGGAGTTTAAACACAGCAGG